ATTGTCCTTATCTTTGTCGCCATATTTATTACAACGTTTCGGCCGTTGTACGCTCCGGCCTTCTTCAGGTGGTTGGAATGTCGAACTGAACCCTTTATTTCGCTCACTGGGGTAGACTATTCTAGTTCCACGTGTCATGTTTAATGGTTATCAGTTAACAGTTATCTCCTGTTAATTTCCCTCTGAAAGTTCTCCACAGCCTTAATCGGGTATTGAACTCACATTCTTTGGGTCTACTCACTGGATCTAACTAGCGCCTTTATCCACTGTGCATGTGTCCTGGAGGACATGGAGAGGGAAATTAACAGGAGATAACTGATAACTGACATCCATTAAACCTGAAGAACTTTTTTCGCTTTCCATCACTATGGCTGATGCGAACCTCCAGGAGAGCAAGTTTGGTTTGGGCTGGTTGTTTAACGTCATATCAACTAATGGGTCATTTAATACTGATATTTTCTATTCTTGAGTTTTGGTATTTTTTTTTCCAAAAAATTGGAATTTTTAATTTTTTTTTTTTACTATGGATATGTATTCATGGTAAGTCTTTCTAATGTATTTTTTATACTTTCATAGTTTATTAGTTCCAGCTTAGTAGTTCACTATTTGCCCATAGCTTGGACCCTAACAGGGGCTACTACTCCGGATCAGGGTGTACCTAGGAACAACAGCAATTAAGATGTGGTTCCACGTCCCTCAAAACCTCCCAATCTGAGGCCTTGCTGCTAGATGTAGTTTATTATCATACCCAGGATGAAGGAGAGAAAGTCACTGCGCTCTACTTGTCTCACGTTTTCTACTGACATGAAGTGAAATGATTATATTGTCTGCTGCTAGGAAAGTCGTTTCACAATGTCGTGAAAGACAGTTTTTCTCGTTAGAATCTACACTGCACATTTATAATCAATCTTTAGTCCGTGCATCAAATATTGCCGCTACATGTGACCTGGTGCTTCTTTTTCATATCTAGAGATTATTGATAAAACCCAAAGAATCTGCAATATTATCGGTCTAGACCTGACAACTCGGCTTCAGCGAAATTCCCGCCGACATAACGTAGCTTCCTTTTGCCTTTTCTGCAAATACTTTCACGCTAATTGTTTTAATGAACTTCCCTCGTTCATGAATTTAAGCGTAGTACTAGATTGACTGTTAGGTCTCATCATTTCACTGTTCAAATTGGTAGTTGAAACCGTAAGTTCTATGCTAATTGTTTATTCCCTCGCACTTCTCGCTTGTAGAATTATCTTTTATTTCACTGGCATTTGTTTTGTTTTCTTTTATCACTTTCTCGGTCCATTTTTCACTCTCAGTAATCCGTTGCATTCTAGTGACTTTTATTGTCTTCCTCGGGATGAAATGATTAAAAAAAAGATCTCCATTGCGAAACTGAGGCCAAGACTTCCCATCGCTTATCATGCGAGAATAATCCTTACCACTTAATAATCCTTACCGCTTAATAATCCTACCGCTTAATAATCCTACCGCTTTATAATCCTTACCGCTTATTAATCCTTACCGCTTAATAATTCTACCGCTTAATAATCCTACCGCTTAATAATCCTTACCGTTTATTAATACTTACCGCTTAATAGTCCTACCGCTTAATAATCCTACCGTTTAATAATCCTTACCGCATAATAGTGATTACCGCTTTATAATCCTTACCGCTTACTAATCCTTACCGCTTAATAATTCTACCGCTTAATAATCCTACCGCTTAATAATCCTTACCGTTTATTAATACTTACCGCTTAATAGTCCTACCGCTTAATAATCCTACCGTTTAATAATCCTTACCGCATAATAGTGATTACCGCTTTATAATCCTTACCGCTTATTAATCCTAAACCGCTTAATAATCCTTACCGCTTAATAATCCTACCGCTTAATAATCCTTACCGTTTATTAATACTTACCGCTTAATAGTCCTACCGCTTAATAATCCTACCGTTTAATAATCCTTACCGCATAATAGTGATTACCGCTTTATAATCCTTACCGCTTATTAATCCTAAACCGCTTAATAATTCTACCGCTTAATAATCCTACAACTTAATAATCCTTACCGTTTATTAATACTTACCGCTTAATAGTCCTACCGCTTAATAATCCTACCGTTTAATAATCCTTACCGCATAATAGTGATTACCGCTTTATAATCCTTACCGCTTATTAATCCTAAACCGCTTAATAATTCTACCGCTTAATAATCCTACCGCTTAATAATCCTTACCGTTTATTAATACTTACCGCTTAATAGTCCTACCGCGTAATAATCCTACCGTTTAATAATCCTTACCGCATAATAGTGATTACCGCTTTATAATCCTTACCGCTTATTAATCCTAAACCGCTTTATAATTCTACCGCTTAATAATCCTACCGCTTAATAATCCTTACCGTTTATTAATACTTACCGCTTAATAGTCCTACCGCTTAATAATCCTACCGTTTAATAATCCTTACTACTTAATAATCCTACCGCTTAATAATCCTTACCGCATAATAGTGCTTACCGCTTTATAATCCTTAACGCTTATTAATTCTTGCCGCTTAATAATTCTACCACTTAATAATCCTACCGTTTAATAATCGTTACCGCTTATTAATCCTTAACGCTTAATAATCCTACCGCTTAATAATCCTTACTGCTTAATAATTCTTATCGCTTAGAGGTTTCGCAGACATGCATTCAAACTGACATATAGACAAGCCAATTGAAAGGTGGCGAAGGGACAAAATTAGAAGTGACGAGGAAAGACTGTGGACTGTCTGTTGTACAATTTTAATCTTGGAGAACCTTTACGTGCGGTTAGGATCATCAGTTTCTTCTTGCTTGTGTTTACTTTCTGTAATTCTATGTCAATGTATGGAACAATTAGATTACTGCTCAGCTACTCATGTGTTATTGGCGGCCATCTTGCTTTAATGAGCTCCCCACTTTCCTAATATTTTTTGTGGCTTGCATCCAAATCCTCTGTTGGTGTCCGACGCTTGTTGTTGCTGTCTTCATCGTGGATTGTTTCCAAATCACCAATGTTGACGTTCGTTTTACTTGTTTTAGATTTGCAGTTGCCAGTGTCGGATGAGTGGGAAGGGTTGCGGGATTGGGGGTGGTGTCAGATGAGAGAGATAGAGGAAGAGAAAGAGAGAGGAAGAGAATAGAACCGACATAGAAAGGCGAAACGAAAAGACAGGGCAACAATTATACTTACTTTCCTACAATCACGCACCAACTTACATACAGTAAATGCTTACATGCCACATGCCGGGGAAGTGTCAAAGATATTAAGCCCAAACCCCTGGGGGACTACCACCCGCTAGACAACACCACTCCGGGAGGGCCCTAAGTTTATTGCCTGGCGTCTGAGGCGTCCTAAGTGCAGAGTGGGTTTAGGCAATTTTCCCAGGGTAAGGTGTTAAACTCACTCTAAACATCGACCTTGTGTCATACTCGGTAACGATGTGAACACGCCGAAAAATAGCCATACATACAATGAACACGAAACATCTTATTTTGTTAATATAGGATGTTTTCCGTCAATAAAACTGTTATTTGTCTGAAGACTTTCAATCCGAACGAAACGCATCACAACGCAGTTTTACATCATATTTATTTACTATCATTCATTTATATAATAGTATATGTTTCACACACACACACACACACACACACACACACACACACACACACATATATATATATATATATATATATATATATATATATATATATATATATATAAAGTGAACATGCTGACGCAACACTCAGGCCGCCTGACGTTTCATGCTGTGTCCAATCGTCAGGCCGCCTGTCGACTCATGAGTGTTGACTTCAATGTTCACTTTTATTCATATTTACATATGATCTATCTCTGATATTGAGCACTTTTTCCTATAAATATTGCACACCTTAAAACTGTATTTCTTCATATATATATATATATATATATATATATATATATATATATATGAAAAATTTCTCAGAGTTAACGTATAGAAAAAGACAATAAATGTAAAATCAATAGGAAAACTGTATTATTAACCGACGCGTTTCGTTCAATATAGATTTTTTGAAGGCATAAACGAAATGAATTTATTGAAAACAAAGTAACTATTAACCACAAACAAAATGTCCTCGCAACTGGAAGAATTTAGAAATTGTATTACTCTATTCATAATTGTCAACTGAAAATTACGTCAAATACTTTCACGTGTAGAAATACTGTTTATTGTTTCAGTTGACGATTATGAATACAATAGCGTTTTCTAAATATGATTAAAATTCCATCCGCAACATACGCGGAGTTAATACAAATATAATAGCCTCATCCACATATTAAAAAAAAGCTAAAAATCAACTATGAACACGGCCACAATGTGCTGGCCATGACGAAAGCGCTCGGACATATAGAACTTTCCGACAGTTTCGACATCATTTATGTTCAGTAAAAATTAATAAACAAAAAAGCCGTTACTATTTACCGCAAATTGTACAGAATAAAATATAAACTCAAGTAACAATCAAAAGACGTATCCAGACACATTGATTTTATAATTTAATATTTGGTTGCATGACTTTGTTTTGTATTTACTGCTCAGAGATATATCTAATGACCTTTACAACATATTTTTGAAATCTTGATTCACTGTTCCTGGTAAAAGGCTTTCAAATTACAGGGATCCCTCGAATGAATTCAATCTTCCATTCGATCCTCGCCTTAGATTTTCAATAGGATTCATATCAGATGATTGGCTAGGTCTTTAAAGAACCCTTATATTGTTCTAAAGAAAACATTCACAGGTTACTTTATGATTTGGTTTGTCCATGGTGTTGAAAGATTCAAGCTCTTCGGACTCCAACTGTTGCATATTAAATCCTCAAATACTCTGCCATCGCTTAATTAATCGTTTCTTTAATCATGTGATATATTCTACGTAAACACTCCCACAGACTATGTTACTTTCACCCCCCCCTACTTAGTCTATATCACATTGAACACTCGTTCTCGTAAGATCACCGAATTTAAGCAACGTCGACCTTGATTAGTAACTAGATGAGAGACCGCTTGGGAAAGCCAGCTGCTGTAAGCTTGAATGTACTTGTGTAGTGGAATTGTAAATCGGAGAGACGTGTTTCAATACCAGCTGGGTTCATTCTATTCAATTAAGCGTAAAAAGCCTTTGGAAAGGCGTGAACTCACTTTTTCCCTGCCCAACCATGGCTTAGTGAGCAGAACTTGTATCAGATAACTGCACTACTATGGAGATATCTTTTTTGTTTTCGATCATAGAAATGGCTTTTTCCATGGATCTCATATATAAATGCGACAAGTAAATATTCGCAATACGTTCTTTTTTCTGTCTTTGATCTTTCAGGATTTCCGGTCAAAGGGTGCGATTATCCTTATCTTAAAATGTAGTCAGATGACTAAGGATGGTGACACAGTATTATCATTGTTTACATTGAAATAAGTCTCGTGAGCAGTTCGGGGGAGAAAAATCGTCGAGGATTGTGTGTTTCGAACTTTTCTAACCAGACTCTTCTCTGTAGCTGAATAGTACAGCACGTCAGGTCAAATGACGGTTTCTGTATAGGAATACAGCTACAATTTGAAGAACGCATATTTTCTACGAAATTTCATGAACATTCAGGCCGGTAATTGTAAATGTTTAATTAAAAACAGATAATTTACACTGTATCTATACACATAACGTATAAACAGAAAATATATAAAATAATTATCAGCCTTAATCAATTTCATTGCATGTTGTCATTGTTTACGGTAAGTTACGTATCGTGAGCAGATATGATCGATCGAGAAAAATCGTCGAAGATTGTGTGTTTATAAAAACATTGTTAACCAGACACTTTCTCTGTAGCTGATTTGTATAGCACGTCAGATCAAATGACGGTTTCCGTATGAGAATACAGGGTCGATTTCTGTCGGAGAACGCATATCTTCTACGAAATTTCTCTAACATTCGGGCCGGTAAATGCAATTAATACTGTTTATTTAAAAAACAGAGCATTTACTTAAATGAACTGTATCTATAAAAATAACCTATAAACAGAAATTATATCAAATAATTGTCGGACTTAATCCATTTCATTTATATATATATATATATATATATATATATATATATATATATATATATATATATATATATATATATTAAATAATTTAAAAATATGGTTTTTCGCTTACACAGTAATAAACATGTTTTTTTTAAACATAGCTATTACAGTGTAGCGAAGAAACCATATTTTAACTCAGTTAATTTATAATATTTATGCTATGTAAATTTACATTCAGCACTGTTTTCTAAAAATAATTAAAAAAATATCAATACTAATATTATATATCATACTGTTCTTTATATATATATATATATATATACATATACAGGGTGTCCCAAAATAATGTATACACTCTTTGAATCGTTATAACTTATTCAATTTATGTATTTTGACTTGTAAATAAGATTAATACAAGAGAAAGAAAACACATTTAAAGAATTTGAGAATAAAAAAAAAACATAGAAAATTAACTTTAATAAGATAAAAGTTACTTGGATTAATGGCAGAATGTTCATATAATGATGTGTTTACATCAAGTGCTCAAACTGGTTGCCGTTCTGTTCAATACACTTTTCATATCTTGAAGAAATAGACCTACAATCGTCCAGTATCATTTCCTTTGGTATTTGAACACATTCTTCTTTAATTACTACTCTCATTTCAACAATGGTTTCAGGTTTCCTGCTGTAAACTTTCTCTTTTAGAAACACTCACAAAAAGAAATCCAAGGGTGTCAAATCTGGTGATCTAGGTGGGTATTCAACTTTCCCTCTTCTTCCAATCCATCTGTTTTGCATATTTTCATCCATATAAAAAATGTTTTATTAACTATTAATATTTAAAGAGTTTAGTATACATTATTTCGGGACACCATATATATATATATATATATATATATATATATATATATGTGTGTGTGTGTGTGTGTGTGTGTGTGTGTGTGTGTGTGTTTCACCTACGCGGATCGTCAGATACGTTGCCCCCTGACGATCCGTGTCAGGGTGCCCCCCTGACGATCCAGTGTAGGTGAAACCTAGGTAGGTTTGCCTGGCTCTTTAGGTTCATAGTTACACACACACACACACGCACATACATACATACATACACACACACACACACACACACACACATATATATATATATATATATATATATAATATAACATCAGGCCAGTTCCATGAACTTGTTTTCCATTAACCTAATGAATATTCATGAGCATTTCTGTATCACAAATGTTTGAAAAACTAGTAATGTTTTTCCTCTTGTATATAAATACTTATTACAAAATAAAAACTTTACATTTTGCCTTGATAAAATCTCTCAGAGGACGAAACTCGTCGGCTAAGATAAGTTTTCCTTTTTTTCTTTATTCATCATAAAAGAAACAATATAAATTAATAATAACAATATGTCAGATTTAATCCATTCCATAAAAATATACATACACACACACACACACACACAAACACACACACACACACACATATATATATATATATATATATATATATTGATAATATTAGTGGTCAATATATATATATATATATATATATATATATATATATATATATAATATAAATATAAATTCCCAAGAGGAGAGAATCCAGGTAGAATTCAATGTCCAGGACAAAGTAAGAATATAATATTAAAAAGATCAAACACTTATATTCCTTGGTTATAATTTATTACATTGGAATCGTAATTACGATCCAATTCATTAGACCTACAAATGCAATTTCTGATTTCTTTTTGAATTTGTAGGTCTGATGAATTGGATCGTGATTACGATTCCAATGTAATAAATTATAACCAAAGAATATTAGGGCTTGACCCTTTTATACATATATATATATATATATAGGTATCAATAAGAGCAAATGGAGCATTTAATTTAAAAAGCTGCTCAATACAGAGTAGAGCTTAATATTATTTATTATATGAGATTAAAACAAGAACATGTTGAAATAGCTTTCATGTTTCAGCATTTAGTTATGTAGGAATAATTTTCTGGTTAGGACTAAAACCTTAGACTCTTTTGCGTGTGACACGCGTTTCATCTCGATAAGAGAGAGAGAGAGAGAGAGAGAGAGAGAGAGAGAGAGAGAGAGAGGCGTTTGTGTGTATCTATATTCTTTTATCTACACAGATTAAACATGGTTTTGTCGAAAGAAGAAAGAATTGACTTCTTTTTCTGGAGTATGCTAAAGGAGTGGGTGTATTCAATGAAAATCACAGATACAACACATTTGATTGAACGCAGAAAGAGTGGATGTGCAAAAATTGACGGCAAAGTGAACTTATTGCATCGACTTCATGTGAATCTTGCAAAATGCATCAGCCTTCTCATTACAAATGATGGAAATCACATTGAAAATTTAATTTCTTAAAAATATGCATTTTTGCCTAGGGTGTCCAGACTTTAGAGACGCCCTATATATTTGTATACATTGGTAAGATTAGCCTTTTCTATGCAAGAAATATTCGAAACATTGATCGAACAGTCAGTATTACTGTTAGTTTAAATTTATAAAAACATTTTCTAAAAACAGTTTTTCAGTAAAATAGAATTCTCAAATCCACTAACTGTTATTGATCTTTCTAGTACTGATGAGGATTTCCTTCCAAACCTTTTGTTTGAAGAGGTGTGGAAAGCCAGCATCTTGATTATATTATAATTTTGTGTTTTACTTATATGTATAAATATTATATAAAATAATAATTACAAATTATATTAAATTATTATATTACTGAAAATATAACCGAATCTATGCGGCCCACGCAGTATACGGAAAGTAATTCAAAGAGTTTTCGGCAATCCTGGACTAACACAAACCACCAAGCTAATGGTCAGCCGAGATGTTGTAATCTCGATTCTCCTATATGTCTATGAGACATACGTAATATATAGAAGAGACATCCGCAAAATTGAAAGATTCAATCAAATGAAACTTCATCAAATTCTGCGGAACGCGTGATAGGACCGGATCACGAACAATGAAGTTATCCTCCACGCAAAGCTGGAGAATTTAGAAACAATCGTGACTCGCCAGCGACTTCGATGAGGCGGATATCTTGTCCGAATGCCAGACATCCGCCTACTCAAACATATCCTCTTCTGGGAGCTCGCATTAGGCAAGAGGCCATTTAGAGCACCACATCGGCAATTCATGAATCAGCTCAAAAACGCCTTGCTAATGACAGAACTCAATCCGATCACTTGGGAAATAATTTTGAAAAAAATATTACAACAATACATTTTTGAAGAAAAAAAATATTGCCAGCAATACATTTTTGAAGAAAAATTATTTCCAGCAATACATTTTTGAAGAAAAAATATTACCAGCAATACATTTTTGAAAAAAATAATATTACCAACAATATATTTTTAAAGAAAAAAATATTACCAGCAATACATTTTTGAAGAAAAAAAATTATTACCAGAAATACATTTTTGAAAAAAAAAATATTGCCAGCAATACATTTTTGAAGAAAAAAAAATTACCAGCAATACATTTCTGGAAAAATATTTCCAGCAATACGTTTCTGGAAAAAATATTAAAAACCTTGTTGGCATTAAATGACCCATTGAGGTTGTTATGCCGTAAAACAAAACAAACCAAACCTTAAAAAACATTCAGTAAACGTGTACCTTGAACGGCTCTTGGGCCTTCTATTGGGTGAAAATAGTATAAAAATGCTGAACACTAACCACACTACACAAATGAATTAATCTATGAGACAAGATGACTAATCATCAGGTGACACAAAGCGCCCTCTAGTATGATATCTTGTAACAAATAATAGTTGAGAGCGCTCAAAAAATAGCGCCCAGAGTAATTGTCCAGTGACTGGATTCGGTTTACGGATGGGAGTTTGGTTGAATTGAAACTGTAAATTTGACATGAAAATTAGACTTGGGGTCGACAAGTCAAAGGAGAGACGTGAACGTGTTTCCAATAACGAGACGACTTGATCATTTAATTTCCGCTCTCACACTGATTATCACT